GTTCTCCCTTATTTTATCCCTCTATTTATCTTAGAGTTGTTTTTTCTGTCACGGGTGCTCTAGTATTATTGTTGATATGACTACTACTACTGAGGGACTTGTGACCCTTACTGTTGACACCTCTATCGTTGAGACATCCATGGGTACTTCCATTTTTATGTTTGACCAACATACAGTACCTACTAGCACAGTTGCATTACCAGCACTACCGGGCATGATCTCTCAGAAAGTTATGGCATAGTTGTTGAATGGTTGTAACTTCGCTGAGTGGTCTCGCTCATTTCAGCTTTTCTTAGGCCGTGTAGGGGAGCTTGGTTGGCTGACGGGATCTCACCCAAAGCCAGCTGATGCCGACCCTGGATATTCTGTGCGATTCTCTGAGAACTGCGCCATTCTTGGATAGTTATTTGGCTCGATGGAGCCATCTGTTTGCAGGATTCACCAGTTTCATAGCTCTGTTCCGAAGCTATGGAGCGCATTATCAGAGATGTTTTCTCAGTCAGGACGGGGAGTTCGTGTTTATGAGCTTTCTTAGGAGCTCTCATATGCTCGACAGGGAGATATGACCGTTCAGGATTATTATGGCTATTTGACCCAGTGCTGGCTTGAGTATGAGACTCTACGTCCTCTTGCTGCTATTTCAAGGATAAAGCCCGAGGGAGCAGCATTCTTGCATACTCGAGAACAGGAGGATAGGATTCACAAGTTCCTTATGGGGCTTCGTGATGAGTTTAAGGGACCTCGTTCTCAGATCTTGTCGATGTTGACACTTCCTTCTCTTTATGAGGTATATGGGATGATTGAGCAGCATGAGCGTCGAGTTCGTATTGCATCACTTCCAGTTGCGGCTTTGACTCCTTCGGCTGACCAGATGGCCCTTGCAGCTGCTGTAGGGTCCCGTTCAGGATCCTTAGTCAGGGATAGGCAACGCTCAGACCAGCGCCGTCAGGGCGCCCCAGATCAGCGCAGACGGGGGGATTCCCGTCAATGTGATTATTGTGGCCGACCAGGACATCTCAGGGCTACTTGCTGGAAGCTCCATCCAGAGCTTAAGCCACCTTCTCGCAGCCGTACTGTTGCTATTGCTGAGGTACCACCGCCCACTACCGCCACTCCTGCTACTGCTCCTCCTTGGCAAAGTGATATGGATGCTATCACTTCCCGATTAGATATACTTATGTCTGCTCTGACTTCTCAGAGTCTGACTACTGCTGCTGTCACCACTACAGGTATATCTCGTGCCTTTCACGCTTGTGCCAGTTCATCTCCCCTTTGGATGTTGGACTCGGGTGCGAATGGTCACATGACAGGTGAGGCCCATCACTTCACCACTTTTGACGAGCCGTTACATACACAAGTTCAGTTAGCAGATGGAACACATGCCCCTATTGTTAGTAGGGGTACAGTCCGTCTCCCAGATGGCCTTACATTACATTCGGTTTTTCATGCGCCAAAGTTGGCCATGAATCTATTATCTGTACATCAGTTAGCCAGAGATTTTCACTGTGCGGTTGTATTCTTATCTGATTCGTGTTATTTGCAGGACCTGAGTACCAGGAGGATTATTATCAAGGGACATGAGAAAGATGGACTGTATTATCTTGGCAATCCATCTCCAGTTTCACCAATTCCTTCACCTGCACCTGCTTTGTCTTTTTCTGTTCCTAGCTTGCATGCTAGTATTTTACCTAGTAGTTGTCGTTATGATTTTTCGTCACAAACTGTTCAATTGTGGCATGACCGTTTTGGACATACAAATTTTAAATATTTATGTATGTTGTTTCCTGCTTTGAGTAATGCTTGTGTTGGTGGTAAACTTGATTGCGTTATCTGTTCCCTATCAAAACATGTTAGGGCCAATTATATTCCTCGCATGCACCAGTCACCCAAGCCATTTGACCTAATACACTCTGATATTTGGGGACCCTCTCCCGTTACTGCTCTGTCAGGTGCCAGATATTATGTGACATTTATAGATGATCATACCCGTTGTACTTGGGTCTACCTTTTGCATAGGAAGTCTGATGTGCTCCCTATAATCACTCAGTTTTTACAGATGATTAAGACACAATTCGATGTCATTGTTCGTGCTCTTCGTTCGGATAATGCCAAAGAATATGTGTCTGATGCTTTAGTGTCTCACCTTTCTTCTCAGGGTATCCTTCAGCAACTCACTTGTCCATATACTCCTGAGCAAAATGGTGTTGCTGAGAGGAAAAATAGGAGTTTGATAGGGATGGTACGTTGTCTGCTTAGAGGCATGAGGGTACCAAAATCTTATTGGCATTTTGCTGTTTTGACTTCTACCTTTCTGTGCAATCGTACGCCGAGTCGTGTTCTTCAGCATAAGGCTCCCTTACAGGTCTTATTTCCTGAGCGGACACTTTTTCCGGTCCCCCCTCGTGTTTTTGGATGCACATGTTTTGTTCAGGATCGGTCTCCTACTCGTCATAAACTTGATGATAAAGCGATTCGTTGTATCTTTGTGGGCTATTGTCATCAATCTAAGGGGTATCGATGTTATGATCCTATTAGGCGTCGTATGTATCACAGTCTAGATGTTACCTTTCTTGAGCATATTCCTTATTTTCCTTTCAGTCCTTTGTCTGCCCCTCCAGTTGATGATACTCCCTTTGATTTTCCATTACCACAAGAGTCAGAGTCATTGATCACTATCCCTACAGGGTCATCCGTTTTTCCTCCAAAGGAGTCACTCATCCCTGTCAGTACAGAGTTACCAGTCTCTCTTCCTTTGCAGGTGTATGCTCGTTGTCCTCGCTCTCATCACCCTGCTGATATCCCCTCTACCTCAGGCGATGCAGGTAATACTTCTCAGTTTGTTGAGCATATTGATGCACCTGTTGTTAGTACTGATGAGATTACAGGTGCTGAGCCAGTTACTTTACCTGATAAGATATTATCAGTAGAGGATGGTGATTTAGGGCGTCGTTATCCAAGGCGTGATCGCCGTCCAGTTGATCGATATGGTTGGACCGCCAAGATTTTATATCCGATCTCTGCTTATGTTTCTTATGGTAATCTGTCTCCCACATTTCGAGCTTATACTATGGCCTTATCAGATACGCTGGTTCCTCGCTCTATTTCGGAAGCTATGCGGGAGCCCCAGTGGGTTCTTGCCATGCAGACAGAGATGGACGCTCTTCAGCGTAATCATACATGGGATCTTGTCTCCTTACCTTCAGGGGTGAAGCCTGTTGGCTGTCGCTGGGTTTACACCCTGAAGTTTCTTGCGGATGGTACTATTGATCGTTACAAGGCTAGACTTGTGGCGAAGGGCTTTACTCAGGTACCAGGTCGTGATTTTGGTGCTACATTTGCCCCCGTGGCAAAATTGACTACTGTTCGGTTAATTATTTCTCTGGCTGCGGAGTACTCTTGGCCTCTTCATCAATTAGATGTGAAGAATGCGTTTCTTCACGGTGATCTGGACGAGATTATTTATATGGATGCACCACCAGGCTTTCGTGGTAAGGGGGAGTATGCTGGAAAGGTATGTCGACTGCATAAGTCTCTTTATGGACTGAAACAGTCACCATGAGCTTGGTTCTCCCGCTTTAGTGATGTAGTCGTACGTTTTGGATTCACCAGATGTCATTCTAATCATACCTACTTTATTTGACGGAATACTTCTGGACAGTGTGTCATCCTTTTGGTATATGTTGATTTTATTATTACTGGTGATGATGTTTATGGGACTGCGCAAGTCAAGGTAGACCTTGGGAAGGCTTTCGATGTGAAGGACCTTGGATTTCTGCAATACTTTCTTGGGATTGAGGTTGCCTGTAGCAGCAGGGGTGTTGTCCTTTCTCAAAGAAAGTTATGTTTTGGATCTTCTTTCAGACACTGGGATGCTGGGGTACAAGCCGGCATCATCACCCATGATTCCAAACCTGAAGCTTACTGTTAAAGGTAAAGAGTTGAGAGATTCGACAGTTTATCAGAGGTTGGTAGGTAGACTTATCTACTTAGCCAACAATAGGTCGGACATTTCATTCGCAGTTAGTTAGTTCATGCACAGGCCGTGTCAGCCTCATCTCGATGCAGTTTATCATATTCTTTGGTACCTTAAGTCTTGTCCTGGAGTTGGGTTGTTCTATGCATTAGGATCTCAGACCGGTTCTCTAGCCTGTTATTCAGATTCAGATTATGGGGAAGCATGTGACGATCAATCTACTACGGGCTTCTGTGCTTTTCGAGTGACTCATCTTATCTCTTAGAAGAGCAAGAAGCAGACAGTTGTCTCCCGCTCGTCAGCAGGGGCAGAGTATCAGGCACTGACACTTGGCACGTGTGAGATTATCTAGCTACGATCGATTCTTGGTGAATTGGGGTTTTCAGTGACTTCTCCATTCACGTTATATTGTGATAATCGATTTGCTAATCAGCTCGCTTCTGACTCTGTACTACATGAGAGGACGAAGCATATAGAGATCGATGTTCACTTTCTTCGGGAGAAGGTTAGCAGTGGTATTGTCACTCCATCGTTCGTAGGGACCAGTGATCAGGTTGCGGATGTTTTTACCAAACCTGTTACTTTATCTATTATTCGGGACACTGTTGTCAAGCTTGACTTAGTTGACATTTTTGCGCCAAGCTTTGAGGGGGAGTGTTGCAGATATAGCAGCAGCCTAGTTTATTAGGGTTTTATTAAGTTTTTCTTTTGACCTTTTTGTCCTTGTTGTAACTCTCATTGACTATATATACGGGGGCTCTACACTTAGTTTGTATCCTTTTTACATATTTCAAGTGAAAGCATCTCTCATCTTGTGCTTGAATCGAAGGAGAAGTTATCCAATGGCAATCACTTGACAGTATATCTCTAAAATCTTTGCAGCCCCTTAGTGTTCTATTTGTGGTTTTAAGCATCATAGAACTCTTAAATCCATGTAATAGATGGTAAATAATCTTTTGTGCTGCTTTTAGATATGATTTGTGTTAAGGCCCCTGGCAAAGACTGATGTGATTGATTTGGCATTTCAGAGTTGCTTTCCGAGGATATACATGACTAATGAGGAATGTGGACAATGTTGAGATCGATCTAGGACTTGCTTTGGGTTACTCGAACCATCGGACAAGATTGAACAATGATTCTGGTGCAGGTGTAAATGCAGGCTCAAGGGTGGATATGACATTTGTGGTACCTGACCCTCTATCTGAATTAGTTTGGTGCCCATGTGAAGGTTTGAGTCTGAAATGTGCCGATTGCAGCTTGGTTGAGAGAAAACCCTCTCTTTTAAGGGATGTGGGACCAGGCAATATGATTCGTTCACCAATGCTGAGCATCAAATCCATGAAGACTACTGATAATAAACCCATAGGAGAGGATAGTGTAATTATGTCAAAAGTAGCATTTAGTGCGGATGATGGAGTTTCTGATAAAGCTAGTTTGGCCAATTCTCATAGAGGCAGTGCTGCTACTGGGTTTGGATCAAGTCATGAACGCCACTCAGGTAATGTGACTTAGAGTTCGGGACAGTTAATTGTGTTCCTTTCTTCCTTTTTCCCCTGGTTAGTGGGAGTCCATTAATTGTAGAATGATGAATTTTTGATTATATTAGTTTCCATCTCAATGCATTTCCATTATGTTCCCTGGTCTTGTTGGCAGGAGCTGGTGGAAAAATGGAGGAAATAAACACTGTTGAGGCAGTATCTGTTGAACATTTTGGTCAGAAGGAGGAATGCATTACAGACAATGAATGTATTAGAGACAATGAAGAAAAATGTTTAAGTGGCCCAAACAACATCCAAATAGTTGGTATGGCTGACACCAATGAAAACAATGCAGGTGCATATTGTATTTTTCCCTTGAAAGAGTTGGTTCGAAAAACTGTTCTAGCTACTCATGTAGCTTGTGTTTATTGCATAATGTAATTGACAATGTATTTGCGACTGGTTGGTTTTGGAGATGTTCTTGTTGTTCTCTTTATTTAGTTGGCTTTCAGCTGTTTGCCTTTTCATTGAAACCAAAGGGATCTTCTGCTTTTCCTTCACTTGACCTCTTATTGAAGTGCTGGGTTTTCTGCAGATCATAAAATTAAAGAAAAAACTAATTTTCTACCACCCGGAACCAATGAATCCCGTCCTGGCATGGCAATAACTGAACCTCTGTCTTGGAAATGTGATAAAAAGAGGGTGACTGATCATGGCAGTAGAATTGAAGAAATTGCTGGTGGCACTCAGAAATGGGCCTCTGATGTTGCTTTGGCTTCTGAAAATCCTACCGTCAAACAGTATGAGCCTTTTGAGGGTCCATTGCCAGAAATGCCGTCCCCAGGAAGCAGACACAAAGAATTGGATTTAGTTATTAAAGATGTGAACAGAAATCAGATGACGAGACATGGTTCTACTAGTGATCTCCCTACGGGGAAGGTGGAGTTCACTTCTGAAAATGATTTGTGCGATCAGATTTGTAAATATGCCCATGGACAGAAAGAAGAAAGATCTCCAGTGGACAAGTCTGTTTCACTTGAAGCTTCTGCAACTAACAGCAGGGTCATTCTGTGTCAGAGGAAAGGCAAGGAAAAAGCTATTTCTGATGGTGATAGTAAGGAAAGGATATCAAAAGATGAGGACAATAGTCATGAAAGTGCAGAAAGCTGTAACACTGCTGGGTTATTTACTAAAGGAAAGAAGCGATGGAGCTTTGAACAGCCATTGGTTTTGGGGAGTAAAAGAATCAAAAAAGGAATCCAAGACAGTCCTGCTTCAACTTCTCATGTCAGACAGGATAGCTCTTTCATGAACTGGATAGCAAACATGGTAAAGGGCTTGGCTAAGTCCAATCAAGATGAGGTCTCTCCTTTTGCTCTTAGCCTTGCTCATCCAAATCTTGGGCATGAGAGCCATGATCAGAAAGTTATCACATGCGGGAACACAAATATGGGCTTCCAAACTATTTTTCAGTCCCTGTATTGTACAAATCCGAAGGCAAAGGAAGCAAGAATGTCAAATGACACTTGTTCTACAGGAGAACCTAGAGAAGTTGTGTTGGCTGGCAAAACATATGGTGCTGAGATTGCTCCAATACCCTGCTGTGGGGAGAATGATAAGTTTCTTGTACCAGATAAGAAGTTCGACAAGTCAACATTTGCCAACGGAGAAGGCCTGTCGACCCAACCCTCACTATTTTCTGAAAATAATGTCGCTTGGGAAACCTCCAAGCTTAAGTTTTCTGACAATAACAACTCAGGTAGCCTGGCATATAGTAAGGCAAAAAAAGAAGTGTGCTCCTCTGGTTCCTCTCTAAGTAAACGCAAGACCTGTGAGGATGAGAAAACCAATTCAGATCCTCAATCCGAAGGTAAAGCAATTCATAACATGGGTTTTGGGAGCTTGTGGATTACTCGGTTTTCTCCAAAAAAATCCAGCTCAATGTCAAATTTAGATACCTTCAACCAGAGTACACACGGAGCAGTTAAGTGTTCCCCTGATTACACAAGGCTTGTTCCTAACACTCAAAGTTGTGCTGATTTTTCCACCAACCCGAAAAGTTTAGGGGCCAGGGGGGTTCCTACAGAAGGCCCGGTTAGTGTTGTGGGTAAAGAATTGCAAAATCATGCCCCCAGTATGGAGGCTTCCTTTGGCTTTAAAAGGATCAGTGGAAATAATTGTCAGAAGTCCATTTGTGAAGTAAATCATATTTTACGTTCTCCAAAACTCAAAAGTTTAGAGGCGATGACTTCTGTGTTTGCGAGGAGATTGGATGCCCTTAAACACTTCATACCATCCGCTGTAAAAGATGATGCAATTTGTGCGACTACCACCTGCTTCTTTTGTGGCAGAAATGGCCATGATTTACGTGGTTGCTCAGAGATACGAGAAGCTGAGTCGGTGGATCTTCTTAGAAACTTCAGTCAGTATGATGGACCAAAAGAATCTTCATGTTTGTGCATCAGATGTTTTCAGCATGATCATTGGGCTATTACATGTCCCTTGGCATCTTCAAGCAGGCAAGAGCAATCAAAAAATGATGCTTCTTTGACCCATCAACAGAGTTCTAGTAAAGTGCAGCTTTGTATAGGCGTTGTAAGACAATCTGGTATGCTGGAAACAAGAGCAAGCCATCCCCAAGTTGCTGGTGAACATAGTAAGTGCAGTGGTAAGAAACGTCGAATTGACGGTGGTCCCAGTCGAAAAACGATCTATGAGGGAAAGATTTCAAGTTCGGAAGAAGTTCAGGGGAATACTGCTCTGGGTTCAAGGGAGAAGGAATTAGAAGAAAATCACAGCAGTTCTTTGTGCAAGTTTGGCAGTAAGCAGATTTCAGATGTACCTAAAGGAATGTTTGATGCTATAAGGGGGCTTCATTTATCGCGAATGGATATTCTCAAGTAAGTGAACCATATGAACCAGCCTGCTTTTAAAGTCTGCTCTTTCAGAAGTGGTTGACATGACTAATTATTGCATATAATAAGTTGCCTGTTTAGACTGTATAAACACTTTGTTTGCTCCCTACATACACCTCGAGAAAAATGGAATGAATTGCCTGTTATGATATTCGGTTTAAGTTTCAAGAAGTAAGACTTCTAAACATAATTTCACTATTCATTTGTTGTTTTTAAGGAGATTATTGTATTTGTTGAATTATATGAGGTCAGTTACTTTAGGTAATCAGACAATTACCTTAATTATTGTAATTGGCAGAGTAATGAAGCAATTACTCAAGGTAATTAGGCCTCCTAGCTGTTTGCACTTTGTAGCATTAAATTTGCCTATTGCACAATACTCCAATTTATTTAAGGGCCGCATAGCCGGATTACTCCTCTGTCCTGAGTATTTGATACGTCCATTNTGATGTTATAGTGATCGATAATATAAAAATTTTAATGATGTATCAGTTGTCAATTGACATATTATATCAGATTATAGGACCACTAATATAGAATAAGATCTTTTTTTAATACACTTTTGTTCAATTTCATTCGATGGTAAATTATCTACCATAGATTCAAGTGTGATCCATCATTTATAAGTGAATCTCTTATCTATATATGGTGAATTATCTACTTTTAAGTGAAGTTAAATAAAAATTTAATAGAGAAGACTTAAATTCTAAAAAGATTACTAAAATGTTATTTAAAACTTTTCCGTCTTTATTATATATTTCATAAAAAATTGAATACTTTAAAATATATTTTCAATATTATATATATATGTATAGATATAATATGGCGCTTTCAAAATGCTTCTAATCTAAAAAATTTTTTGTCACTTTTGTGATCCCGCTTCAACTCTTACCTTGCCTTCTCTCTGTGTGATCTAAGTTATAATTAGGGGTGTTCACCCTACCCTACAGGTGAAAAATTTAGTTTTTTGTCTTTTTACCCGATATTTTACGGAAGAATTTTTTCTTTGCCTATCCTACCCGATCAAGTATGATATTTTTATCCGATTAATCAGATAGGAAATCGAGTAAACACTTTTGTAGCTATTAATTTTTAGATCATTTTAATAATTCAATTAAATAACATGTATCAATCTAACGACACAATAAAATAAATAACACTAAAATCTAAAACAACTACAATAACAATTACAATAAAACACAAAAAAATATGAACATCAATCCATCATAATTATTACACAAATATAATAACAATTATTTTAAGTTTAAACCATATGAAACACATTAAATTTATAATTGCTCTAATAGATTACTAGTTTACCACAAACCATGTAACCTATACAAAAAATAAGTCTATGTTTTAGCAACTCAAACATTCACAACAATAACAATATTACAATATAAATTATACTACACAAATAATTTTATAATTATTAAAAAAAATATATAAATTTAAATATATTTTTTGCGGATAGGGTGGATAGGAATATAAAAATTGATAGGTATTCCGCATTCCTACTATATTTTTGCGGCTAATCATTCATTATGGTAGGGTAGAAAATAGCGGTCAATTTAAATACATTTTCATCGAGTGATGATATATCTGCACTATTAATCATACACACTTTTTTGTAATTTTGAAAACATTAGGGTGATAATCTTAAATCACATAAGAACTAGGTCTCCCGTCAATTTTCGAGAATCATAAGCCCTCCTTTTGCAATATTTCAGACCTGGGTTCGCTGTTTCCCTACCTATATATAAGTATCCAATCACTCGTCTCATCTTCCTGAAAACCCTAGCCGCGCGACTAACATATTGAGCTTCTTCAGATTAGGGTGTCTGATTTACATACTCGTAGCCATGGTGGGTTTGCATCTTGAGTTCTCTCTGCAACAAACACACACACACTGTCTCGCACTCTCTCTATATCTCTCTATCCATGTATATGTAATATTGTATGTATTCTTTGTTTCTGTGTGTTAGGCGGACGTAGAGACAGATGTTGCCTCAGGACAGCCAAAGAAGAGGACGTTCAAGAAGTTCAGCTTTCGAGGCGTCGATCTTGAAGCTCTTCTTGACGTGTCTACCGATGAGCTCGTCAAGCTCCTGGGTGCCAGGGCTCGTAGAAGGTAATATATATTGATTGTGTATACGTCTATATTTCTGTAGTGGTTTTCATTTGCAGGAAATTTAGTATTCGTGGGTAAATTTGTGTCTATATTTCTGAATTTTTTTTTTGGGTCTGGTTTTGATGCAATTATAGGTTTCAGAGAGGTCTGAAGAGGAAACCAATGGCTTTGATCAAGAAGCTACGCAAGGCGGTGTGTGTATTTTGGCAATTTGTTTCATTTTCTTTGGACTTTAATTTTAGTTGCTGCTAAATCTTGCAATTTTGGACTATTGTGTTTTTATTTGTGTGTTTTTTTTGGGGGGAGGGGTGTTGTTGGCCTTTTGGGTTGCCTTGTATTGTGATCCATGTNATTTTGGCAATTTGTTTCATTTTCTTTGGACTTTAATTTTAGTTGCTGCTAAATCTTGCAATTTTGGACTATTGTGTTTTTATTTGTGTTTTTTTGGGGGGGAGGGGTGTTGTTGGCCTTTTGGGTTGCCTTGTATTGTGATCCATGAGGTACTTAGTGTTGGATTGAGCTATATGAAGCATTTTTTTTGTTTTCTGGGAAAGAAAAGAGGAGACAATGAATATGCAGAAAATGATACCAGNCTTTGTAAATATTAGATTTTATTTTATGAATATCTCTTTTTCCACTGCTATTTAAACTATAATTGATCTCTTTAATGGCTTAAGATTAGTGAAAGACCCTATATCACTCTTGCATCTGGATGGTTTTTTCCTGCGCTTGCGGCTTGGAAAGTGGGAAGAAGGTCTAGGAGGAACAGGATACTATGTTGCTTGCATAACTGGTATGACACATTTTAATCTCACTTCTAAATTGTGTACTGAATAATTGTGTTTTGCCGGAGATAAATCCTATTTTTGCTCATGAGTGAGGCATTATTTCTTACACTTTCTAGATGGCCAGAATATATACCTGTTTTCCAACTTCTTTTTGCTTCTTTCTTATAAATTTGCAGGGGTTCATAGAGAAAACTCAGCAAAAAATTCCCAGAATTCTATCTCTGTGAATGTTGGGGGTATCAAATGCATCGTTGAAAACCAGCACATCTCTAACCATGATTTTCTAGAGGTAATCTATGATTTGATTATTCAGTTTTTTCTAGAATTGCCTGCTGTATTTCTTCAATGCATTTTGTTTATTTTGGCCTTTCCTGATCTCATTAGATGTAAGAAGGGCTTAAATGTGTTGTTGGAATGCTAGAGTAAAAATGGTATTTTTAAGGATTCTCTTTTCATTACAATGGGGTTTTTTGTCAGACATACGTGTAATGAAAAAGGATAGTTTTTGGATTCTACAGCAACTGACTTGAACTTAAGTTTAATGAGGATATGAATTTTTGCTATGCTTATCGCATGTAAGTTGCTAAGTTCACTCAGACCACTCTTTCATGGGTTGTTCAAGGCCGGGACTGTCCCATGTTCATTGGTCTATGGCAAATATATTAACCCTTTATAGCTGTTGTGGTCAACAAATAAACGCTTCAGTCTTGCATAGCTCCCAACACCCCCAACATGGTTTCATGATATGTTTAATTATTGAAAGCTTCAATGTGGTGGCTGTTAGCATGTAAACTCATCAAAGTGTTTAAGATGTAAATATATAAAAGGGTCTCCCTTTACATCTTCAGAAAGGAATATCTACCATCCTTTACCAAAACTCCCAAGACTATGTTGTTTTGGGGATTACGCTATTTTGAACATATCTATCATTTTTCATAGAACACCCATCCTAGTATTCCTTCCAACTGTTGGTAATTAGGTGGAAAGTAGTAGCTGAGGCTAACATTGTAAACCTTTGGTACCCATTTTGATACGAAAATTGTTCATACTACGCATTCTGCAGGACGAGCTTGTTGCTTGGTGGTGCAGAACCTTGAGAAGTGGTGGGACGATTCCATCTGTAAATGACCTGAAATTAAAGCTCGATGATAGAAAAAAATTGGGTCTTTAGATTTTACTGTTTTTATGCTGCAGGGCCAGTAGTTTTGAGGTCCAGCTTGCCTAAGAAGCATCGCAAAGATTGAGCTTCATTCTTTCTTTTTCTTTTTCTGTAATTAGAATATGAAACGTACTATTGTTTGACTGAATCATCTGTTTAAGAGCATATATGTGAGAATTTCTGAGTACAACCATCTTCCTTTTGAGAATGTAGAATTTTGAAAACTTACTGTTGTATGATTAAACCATTTATTTAGAGCACAAATGTAAATATTTCTTTGATGACCATCTCTTTTTTTTGAGAATTTATTTCTGGTGGCAATCTTGTTTTAGTATAAACCAGCTCAAGTTACGGTGGACAGTCACCGAAGACATAGTAAAAAAATTCTTGTTTCAGTAGCCAGGCTTGTGGGAATGAATGAAGCAGTCCACTTAATCAAACTGGTTTATGTGTCCGGCTAAAACTTATAAGCTGATGCCTGATGGCCTTCTGATCCAGTCGTATCCTCATTATGCAGTGGTCTGCACTCTTCTGCATAAAGTGGCTAGAAGTCTTGTCTTGTCTTTTTTTTTTGGGTAAATGGAGAGTTTTCCGTTCAGCATGTAGAGTTATAATTGATTAAGTGGTCGTTTAGGGTGTAACTCGGGTGGGTTAGATGGGTAATCCTAGCTTAATTTTAAATATATAATCTTTAATCCTAGTTCTACTTCGGGTTGAGAAACTCAATTCAAGCACTGTTTGAGTTTAATTTGGGCGGGCTAGAGTTGAATTAGGGTTAATGATTTTGAGTTATTTTATAGGCTTATTTCGAGTTATTTCAATCAAGTTTTTAACATAAAAGTCATAATATTAAGAATTTAATGTTTGAGATAATATAATTACAACTATACATAATACAAATAAACACAATTAGAATTTTTATACAAACATAGAGTTCACTGTTTAACAAAATTTTTGTACACCCAGAATCCTTGAAAGAGACTGATAGTGAGTAGGGTCTGAGGGAGGTGCACACTTGAATTGAGATTAACCTTAGGATAAAATTATATTTATATAGCATTAATTCGGGTTGAACCTGATAACTCAATCCTAGGCCCGCTCAAATTGCATTCGGGTTGAAATTTTTTGACCCAAGCCCAACTTAAACATTAAAAATCCTAGTCCAACCCCTAATTTTTTAAAGTTGGGCTCGGATTAAAGTCGGGTTAACCCGACTAAGTTACACCCCTAGTAGTGGTACACAGGTCGAGAAATTTTTGTGCGAGTTTAACACTAAAACGGTTTCCATCACGTAATTTGTTTTTTTTTTTTAAAAGTCAGTTTGTATGTGTAAATTAACATGATGGTAATATACTTCACATCTCCATAGACGATCATCCAAATAGGTGAGAGGACTCGTATACGACACCAATTAATGATGTTATAGTGATCGATAATATAAAAATTTTAATGATGTATCAGTTGTCAATTGACATATTATATCAGATTATAGGACCACTAATATAGAATAAGATCTTTTTTTAATACACTTTTGTTCAATTTCATTCGATGGTAAATTATCTACCATAGATTCAAGTGTGATCCATCATTTATAAGTGAATCTCTTATCTATATATGGTGAATTATCTACTTTTAAGTGAAGTTAAATAAAAATTTAATAGAGAAGACTTAAATTCTAAAAAGATTACTAAAATGTTATTTAAAACTTTTCCGTCTTTATTATATATTTCATAAAAAATTGAATACTTTAAAATATATTTTCAATATTATATATATATGTATAGATATAATATGGCGCTTTCAAAATGCTTCTAATCTAAAAAATTTTTTGTCACTTTTGTGATCCCGCTTCAACTCTTACCTTGCCTTCTCTCTGTGTGATCTAAGTTATAATTAGGGGTGTTCACCCTACCCTACAGGTGAAAAATTTAGTTTTTTGTCTTTTTACCCGATATTTTACGGAAGAATTTTTTCTTTGCCTATCCTACCCGATCAAGTATGATATTTTTATCCGATTAATCAAATAGGAAATCGAGTAAACACTTTTGTAGCTATTAATTTTTAGATCATTTTAATAATTCAATTAAATAACATGTATCAATCTAACGACACAATAAAATAAATAACACTAAAATCTAAAACAACTACAATAACAATTACAATAAAACACAAAAAAATATGAACATCAATCCATCATAATTATTACACAAATATAATAACAATTATTTTAAGTTTAAACCATATGAAACACATTAAATTTATAATTGCTCTAATAGATTACTAGTTTACCACAAACCATGTAACCTATACAAAAAATAAGTCTATGTTTTAGCAACTCAAACATTCACAACAATAACAATATTACAATATAAATTATACTACACAAATAATTTTATAATTATTAAAAAAAATATATAAATTTAAATATATTTTTTGCGGATAGGGTGGATAGGAATATAAAAATTGATAGGTATTCCGCATTCCTACTATATTTTTGCGGCTAATCATTCATTATGGTAGGGTAGAAAATAGCGGTCAATTTAAATACATTTTCATCGAGTGATGATATATCTGCACTATTAATCATACACACTTTTTTGTAATTTTGAAAACATTAGGGTGATAATCTTAAATCACATAAGAACTAGGTCTCCCGTCAATTTTCGAGAATCATAAGCCCTCCTTTTGCAATATTTCAGACCTGGGTTCGCTGTTTCCCTACCTATATATAAGTATCCAATCACTCGTCTCATCTTCCTGAAAACCCTAGCCGCGCGACTAACATATTAAGCTTCTTCAGATTAGGGTGTCTGATTTACATACTCGTAGCCATGGTGGGTTTGCATCTTGAGTTCTCTCTGCAACAAACACACACACACTGTCTCGCACTCTCTCTATATCTCTCTATCCATGTATATGTAATATTGTATGTATTCTTTGTTTCTGTGTGTTAGGCGGACGTAGAGACAGATGTTGCCTCAGGACAGCCAAAGAAGAGGACGTTCAAGAAGTTCAGCTTTCGAGGCGTCGATCTTGAAGCTCTTCTTGACGTGTCTACCGATGAGCTCGTCAAGCTCCTGGGTGCCAGGGCTCGTAGAAGGTAATATATATTGATTGTGTATACGTCTATATTTCTGTAGTGGTTTTCATTTGCAGGAAATTTAGTATTCGTGGGTAAATTTGTGTCTATATTTCTGAATTTTTTTTTGGGTCTGGTTTTGATGCAATTATAGGTTTCAGAGAGGTCTGAAGAGGAAACCAATGGCTTTGATCAAGAAGCTACGCAAGGCGGTGTGTGTATTTTGGCAATTTGTTTCATTTTCTTTGGACTTTAATTTTAGTTGCTGCTAAATCTTGCAATTTTGGACTATTGTGTTTTTATTTGTGTGTTTTTTTTGGGGGGAGGGGTGTTGTTGGCCTTTTGGGTTGCCTTGTATTGTGATCCATGAGGTACTTAGTGTTGGATTGAGCTATATGAAGCATTTTTTTTGTTTTCTGGGAAAGAAAAGAGGAGACAATGAATATGCAGAAAATGATACCAGTGGGGGTGAGTTTTTTGGTAAATTAATTTAATCATTAGTGGTAAATTATGGTTGTCAATGTAGGATTACATGATGCAGAAAACTATGTAAAGAAAAGCTGCAATTTGATGCTAATCTAATGGGTTTGTTTGACATGCTTGATGTGCAATGCTGTGGGTTGGAATGTGTTCTCTATGTTGGTTATGAGTAGTAGTAATTTGGGTTTTTGACGTGTTTAATGTGGCAGCTATTCTGTTAACAGTCTTGATGTATCCTGTTTGTTGATTTTGTGGTTGGTGTCTCATTCGGTGGTTATGGAAGATAATAAGTTAGTTGATGCTAGGAATCGTCCATGCCATGCTACTAATTGGAACTTTAAGCTAATGCATTTCTTCAGACATTTTCAGAAGATCATTGTGGGTTTTGAGGTGGTTTTCATATTCACTGTATGGAAGCATGTAGGTTTATTGTGGTTTCCCAAGAATTAAAATGCATCTAATTTTGACTGTTGAAAGATTTTTGTTTTGGTGGGTATAGCACAATGTTAGAGATGCTACTATTGCAAGTTCTGAAATCATATCTTGAACTACTGTTTGCTTGTTTTCAGAAAATTGATTTAATTTTAAGCATTTAGTGATGTTTAAATCTATTGTGTTGATTAACATATTGTCTATTTCCATTAATTTCTTTGTTTATTTTCAGAAAAAGTCCAGTGTTGATGGATATTTTTTTAAAAAAAATATTTTCTTGCACTTGCACTTCATTGAAAGTAAATTTTGTGTTTCTTGTTGATACTTTGAAATTATGTTCTCGATATAGACCTATGATTAAGAAATTCCAGATAAAAAAACTGATTTTGTGACCTTGGATGAATATTTAAGCCCGTCTTACATATTTTGACAATAGTGGTGAGAAGGTACAAGTACAGCAATTCATGTGATAAGTTGTACTTCTAAGAGTTGGGACAAGTTTTGTGGTTGATTTAAATGGATTTTTGGTGAGTACGTGAATGAGTTGAGAATGAAAAATAGTGTATACTAGAGTGTAGTCAANACAGCAATTCATGTGATAAGTTGTACTTCTAAGAGTTGGGACAAGTTTTGTGGTTGACTTAAATGGATTTTTGGTGAGTACGTGAATGAGTTGAGAATGAAAAATAGTGTATACTAGAGTGCAGTCAGCCACTCATTTGTAAACGACCCAAAATATCCACTTGACATTTGGAAAATCACTCTGTTGATTTAGTTTAAGATTCTGAAGCATGAATAATGTTACATTTACCAAAAATTTTGGGTTTGTGCCAGTATTGAACCAAAATTTTTGCTGACATCTGACAGTTATGATTTTTTTTTTACTATGTACTTTGTATACTAATTGAAGATATGCTGATATTGTTGTATATGTATGTGTGCATNTTTTTGCTGACATCTGACAGTTATGATTTTTTTTTTTACTATGTACTTTGTATACTAATTGCAGATATGCTGATATTATTGTATATGTATGTGTGATCTGTAACACTGTATACAATAGAAATGGGGAAATGATGTGCTTACGGTCTTATGGTTGGATTGGTGGGTCTTATGAGAAAAAGTTAATGAGACTCACTTATCCAATGACCCACGTTCGGTAAACTTTTTTGGCAAGCATTGTAGACTCAGAAATGAAATTTTTTCCCTGATTTTTTTAAACTCATTGTTGCTCTGCTCCTTGGTGGTGTTGTTTTGTTTGGGGCATTAATGCCATCCTTGCAGCGCCTGTTGAGCTATGTTATTTGATAACAATTGCAGACTTAGTAACCTAGAATTAACTAACATTTGTTTCTGTGGTTTTCTGCTATATGTATTGTGATTCTACTTGTATAACCACTCTTTTGCCGGTTATTAGCCTTGAGTAATTGGGTCCTTTTCATGTTTTGTGCAGAAACGGGAGGCCCCACCTGGTGAGAAGCCTGAGCTTGTCAAAACTCACCTGCGTAATATGATCATAGTACCTGAGATGATTGGAAGTGTTGTTGGGGTGTACAATGGGAAGACTTTCAATTCGATTGAGATCAAACCTGAAATGATTGGCCATTATCTGGCAGAGTTCTCAATCTCATACAAGCCAGTCAAACATGGACGCCCAGGTATTGGTGCCACCCACTCCTCTAGGTTCATTCCTCTCAAGTAAAAGTTTCTGGAAGCATTATAGATGTATGGTCATATTTGGTATTCGGTGCAACTGGTTAACCGCTAGATGAGTGGGACACATTTGTTTTTTTGAACTGAAAGTTATTCTTGCTTAGTTATTAACAAATTAATGTGGTTTGATTTTTCTTTAGTATGGATGTTTAGAGAGTGCTTTTAGCTTAAAGACTTGCTTCTGCCTTCTGTGGTCCCCCTCCCCTTGCCCCTCATCCCTATTTTCTCTTGTTATGCCTTCAGCTTAAGCTGTAGCCACATACTTGCATATTGATTTGTGAGTCTCTTGTTGGCCCCAGAATTTATAGCATATTGTATAGGTTAGGCAACATTTTATCTCTCAGGTTTTTTAGGCTGGAATCCAACGGTTGACCTTGAACCATGTATTGATGCGGTAAGTTTTGGATACAAGTCAGCATGAAGAGGCTGCCATGGTTTTTTCTGGGTTTGGATATTCTGAACCGACTTTCTTGCCATATTTTCTTGGTGGTTGTGGCAACAAATCGCAGCAGCATGTTAGCTTCAGCCATAACTTCACAGTCAATTCATATCTGTTATGATCGGGTTGGGACTTCCCTAGCAAAACCCAAGTTGCATTAAAGTTTCCTTGTTTTTGGTTTTTTAGAGTTTGATTCTTTTTTGTGTTTTCGTTCTGGTGTTTTGTTGGGCCTCTTGGAGTNTGGGACTTCCCTAGCAAAACCCAAGTTGCATTAAAGTTTCCTTGTTTTTGGTTTTTTTGAGTTTGATTCTTTTGTGTTTTCGTTCTGGTGTTTTGTTGGGCCTCTTGGAGGNGGGGTGTTCACCCTACCCTACAGGTGAAAAATTTAGTTTTTTGTCTTTTTACCCGATATTTTACGGAAGAATTTTTTCTTGGCCTATCCTACCCGATCAAGTGTGATATTTTTACCCGATTAATCAANGTGATGATTAGTAATGTGAGTGAGTGATGTGTTGTGAATTAGAATTCAAGTTGCAGAAAAAAGTCTATAAAATGAAAGTATGGACGACGTGTGTTGGATATGTTTCCTTTTTTTTTATACGTTTCTAGAATTTGGTTGGGCTTGACTTCTAATTTCTTGGGCTACCATTTCTGGCATCATCAATTTTTCATTTTTTTTCCCAGTCCTTTGGGCTGAATTACTCGAAGAGTGGCTTTCAAAACAGCACCAAACGCAAGATTTGGACTGTTCCCNTTACACAAATATAATAACAATTATTTTAAGTTTAAACCATATGAAACACATTAAAATTATAATTGCTCTAATAGATTACTAGTTTACCACAAACCATGCAACCTATACAAAAAATAAGTTCATGTTTTAGCAACTCAAACATTCACAACAATAACAATGTTATAATATAAATTATACTACACAAATAATTTTATAATTATTAAAAAAAATATAAAAATTTAAATATATTTTTTGCGGGTAGGGTGGATAGGAATACAAAAATTAATAGGTATTTCGCATTCCTACTAGCCAATCATTCAATATGGTAGGGTAGAAAATAACGGTCAATTTAAATATATTTTCATCAAGTGATGATATATCTGCACTATTAATCATACACACTTTTTTTGTAATTTTGAAAACATTAGGGTGATAATCTTAAATCACATAAGAACTAGGTCTCCCGTCAATTTTCGAGAATCATAAGCCCTCCTTTTGCAATATTTCAGACCTGGGTTCGCTGTTTCCCTACCTATATATAAGTATCCAATCACTCGTCTCATCTTCCTGAAAACCCTAGCCGCGCGACTAACATATTGAGCTTCTTCAGATTAGGGTGTCTGATTTACATACTCGTAGCCATGGTGGGTTTGCATCTTGAGTTCTCTCTGCAACAAACACACACACACTGTCTCGCACTCTCTCTATATCTCTCTATCCATGTATATGTAATATTGTATGTATTCTTTGTTTCTGTGTGTTAGGCGGACGTAGAGACAGATGTTGCCTCAGGACAGCCAAAGAAGAGGACGTTCAAGAAGTTCAGCTTTCGAGGCGTCGATCTTGAAGCTCTTCTTGACGTGTCTACCGATGAGCTCGTCAAGCTCCTGGGTGCCAGGGCTCGTAGAAGGTAATATATATTGATTGTGTATACGTCTATATTTCTGTAGTGGTTTTCATTTGCAGGAAATTTAGTATTCGTGGGTAAATTTGTGTCTATATTTCTGAATTTTTTTTTGGGTCTGGTTTTGATGCAATTATAGGTTTCAGAGAGGTCTGAAGAGGAAACCAATGGCTTTGATCAAGAAGCTACGCAAGGCGGTGTGTGTATTTTGGCAATTTGTTTCATTTTCTTTGGACTTTAATTTTAGTTGCTGCTAAATCTTGCAATTTTGGACTATTGTGTTTTTATTTGTGTGTTTTTTTTGGGGGGAGGGGTGTTGTTGGCCTTTTGGGTTGCCTTGTATTGTGATCCATGAGGTACTTAGTGTTGGATTGAGCTATATGAAGCATTTTTTTTGTTTTCTGGGAAAGAAAAGAGGAGACAATGAATATGCAGAAAATGATACCAGTGGGGGTGAGTTTTTTGGTAAATTAATTTAATCATTAGTGGTAAATTATGGTTGTCAATGTAGGATTACATGATGCAGAAAACTATGTAAAGAAAAGCTGCAATTTGATGCTAATCTAATGGGTTTGTTTGACATGCTTGATGTGCAATGCTGTGGGTTGGAATGTGTTCTCTATGTTGGTTATGAGTAGTAGTAATTTGGGTTTTTGACGTGTTTAATGTGGCAGCTATTCTGTTAACAGTCTTGATGTATCCTGTTTGTTGATTTTGTGGTTGGTGTCTCATTCGGTGGTTATGGAAGATAATAAGTTAGTTGATGCTAGGAATCGTCCATGCCATGCTACTAATTGGAACTTTAAGCTAATGCATTTCTTCAGACATTTTCAGAAGATCATTGTGGGTTTTGAGGTGGTTTTCATATTCACTGTATGGAAGCATGTAGGTTTATTGTGGTTTCCCAAGAATTAAAATGCATCTAATTTTGACTGTTGAAAGATTTTTGTTTTGGTGGGTATAGCACAATGTTAGAGATGCTACTATTGCAAGTTCTGAAATCATATCTTGAACTACTGTTTGCTTGTTTTCAGAAAATTGATTTAATTTTAAGCATTTAGTGATGTTTAAATCTATTGTGTTGATTAACATATTGTCTATTTCCATTAATTTCTTTGTTTATTTTCAGAAAAAGCCCAGTGTTGATGGATATTTTTTTAAAAAAAATATTTTCTTGCACTTGCACTTCATTGAAAGTAAATTTTGTGTTTCTTGTTGATACTTTGAAATTATGTTCTCGATATAGACCTATGATTAAGAAATTCCAGATAAAAAAACTGATTTTGTGACCTTGGATGAATATTTAAGCCCGTCTTACATATTTTGACAATAGTGGTGAGAAGGTACAAGTACAGCAATTCATGTGATAAGTTGTACTTCTAAGAGTTGGGACAAGTTTTGTGGTTGACTTAAATGGATTTTTGGTGAGTACGTGAATGAGTTGAGAATGAAAAATAGTGTATACTAGAGTGCAGTCAGCCACTCATTTGTAAACGACCCAAAATATCCACTTGACATTTGGAAAATCACTCTGTTGATTTAGTTTAAGATTCTGAAGCATGAATAATGTTACATTTACCAAAAATTTTGGGTTTGTGCCAGTATTGAACCAAAATTTTTGCTGACATCTGACAGTTATGATTTTTTTTTTTACTATGTACTTTGTATACTAATTGCAGATATGCTGATATTATTGTATATGTATGTGTGATCTGTAACACTGTATACAATAGAAATGGGGAAATGATGTGCTTACGGTCTTATGGTTGGATTGGTGGGTCTTATGAGAAAAAGTTAATGAGACTCACTTATCCAATGACCCACGTTCGGTAAACTTTTTTGGCAAGCATCGTAGACTCAGAAATGAAATTTTTTCCCTGATTTTTTTAAACTCATTGTTGCTCTGCTCCTTGGTGGTGTTGTTTTGTTTGGGGCATTAATGCCATCCTTGCAGCGCCTGTTGAGCTATGTTATTTGATAACAATTGCAGACTTAGTAACCTAGAATTAACTAACATTTGTTTCTGTGGTTTTCTGCTATATGTATTGTGATTCTACTTGTATAACCACTCTTTTGCCGGTTATTAGCCTTGAGTAATTGGGTCCTTTTCATGTTTTGTGCAGAAACGGGAGGCCCCACCTGGTGAGAAGCCTGAGCTTGTCAAAACTCACCTGCGTAATATGATCATAGTACCTGAGATGATTGGAAGTGTTGTTGGGGTGTACAATGGGAAGACTTTCAATTCGATTGAGATCAAACCTGAAATGATTGGCCATTATCTGGCAGAGTTCTCAATCTCATACAAGCCAGTCAAACATGGACGCCCAGGTATTGGTGCCACCCACTCCTCTAGGTTCATTCCTCTCAAGTAAAAGTTTCTGGAAGCATTATAGATGTATGGTCATATTTGGTATTCGGTGCAACTGGTTAACCGCTAGATGAGTGGGACACATTTGTTTTTTTGAACTGAAAGTTATTCTTGCTTAGTTATTAACAAATTAATGTGGTTTGATTTTTCTTTAGTATGGATGTTTAGAGAGTGCTTTTAGCTTAAAGACTTGCTTCTGCCTTCTGTGGTCCCCCTCCCCTTGCCCCTCATCCCTATTTTCTCTTGTTATGCCTTCAGCTTAAGCTGTAGCCACATACTTGCATATTGATTTGTGAGTCTCTTGTTGGCCCCAGAATTTATAGCATATTGTATAGGTTAGGCAACATTTTATCTCTCTCAGGTTTTTTAGGCTGGAATCCAACGGTTGACCTTGAACCATGTATTGATGCGGTAAGTTTTGGATACAAGTCAGCATGAAGAGGCTGCCATGGTTTTTTCTGGGTTTGGATATTCTGAACCGACTTTCTTGCCATATTTTCTTGGTGGTTGTGGCAACAAATCGCAGCAGCATGTTAGCTTCAGCCATAACTTCACAGTCAATTCATATCTGTTATGATCGGGTTGGGACTTCCCTAGCAAAACCCAAGTTGCATTAAAGTTTCCTTGTTTTTGGTTTTTTAGAGTTTGATTCTTTTTTGTGTTTTCGTTCTGGTGTTTTGTTGGGCCTCTTGGAGGGATGATTAGTAATGTGAGTGAGTGATGTGTTGTGAATTAGAATTCAAGTTGCAGAAAAAAGTCTATAAAATGAAAGTATGGACGACGTGTGTTGGGTATGTTTCCTTTTTTTTATACGTTTCTAGAATTTGGTTGGGCTTGACTTCTAATTTCTTGGGCTACCATTTCTGGCATCATCAATTTTTCATTTTTTTTCCCAGTCCTTTGGGCTGAATTACTCGAAGAGTGGCTTTCAAAACAGCACCAAACGCAAGATTTGGACTGTTCCCACAGTCATCAAACATTATTAATAAGTCAATCGTGTTGGATGTATCTCAGGGGGTTGGTGTTAAAATCATATCTAATTTGTTTATTAATTCATGTTTAACAAGTTGTGTTATATCTGGTTCATGTCATATATGAATTGTGTATTTTAGTTTATAAATAAGTTATGTTGTGTATTTTTTTTGATTAATTTTACTTATTTTTGATTCATTTACAAAATGAGTAATTTAAACTCTTTAATTTTATATCGTGTTAACGAGACGGGTCATTTTGACACCCTCCCAAACTTATTATTAACTTCCAAATGGGTTTTGAAGTGTTGCAGTACTAGTTGTATATTGATGCCACAAATCTGAATTATTCCAATGTGGTAGCCATGTTTTGTCAGTTTCACTTTTTGTTTTTTGGAAAAAAGAAAATTAGCTGGACGTAATTTTTCACGATTCTCATTGCTCAAGTACACGAAGGAGACTAGCAAGAAATATTGTTTGTACTAATGGTTAAGCATTTGTCTACCTTCGGTATAATCTGGGTTTTTGTCTCGCAAGTGGCTTATTGGTTCTTCTCTCTTGGGGGTGATTTACTCAGTTTGCGAGTTAGGGATATTGATTCTTAACAGAACTCAAAAATGAATCAGTTGATCAAGAATAAATGATTTGGGTTACCATCAAACATGAATAACTCGATTTGGAGATCCCAAATTCATTTAACTGTCAATGTATGAAAAATTGTCTAATTTTTTTTTATCATTTCTTTCTTTCATTGATTAAGTTCGGTTTGAATCCTCGCAAATTGTATTGATTCTTTACTTGGTTTTGTGAGGATATGAATTTTTTGGATTTTTAGTTTATGAGAGCTTAGAGATGGTAGGTTTGGTTGAGAGTAAAGGTGGTGCTATCATTTTAGTCTTGATTTTCTAGTTCATAGAGTATATATTGTAGGTAATGAGTTGAAAGAGGTTAACACATGTCCCAAGTTAATGTATTCAAATGGAAGAATAGGATGAGTGGATGGATCAAAGAACTCGAGCTGCCTATTGATTGCCAGGACTAACCAGTGGGCAAAAAGTTTCTTAGATTAGGTGGTGGTAGTAAATATTCTCGCACTAACCAGAATTTTTATCTTAGATCAGGCGATTGTGTGTACTTTAGGGGCAAGTGATGAAGCTTGAAGGTATTTATAGCACAAGTACTCAGGTAGGCAAGGCTGCTTGCACCTACTTTGTACAAGGGTCAATGCCGTGCGTGATAGTTGTGCTTATCAACAATTGTCTCGATTGCAGTTATACCGATGACTGTTCACCACATGCTAAGTGTCTTGAGTATTAGTTAAGTAGATACGACGTTTTTTTGGATGCAGCCTGGACTCGGCCATCAAGAAAAGGGTACATCCTACAAGACCCTCTGGCCATCGCGAGAAAATTATGTCTGCAGTGCCCCCTAGTGCAGGCATACCTAGGGTCTTTCCTTCCCCTTGGAAGTTGGAACCCCTTTCCAAAGTCTTTGTCAAGGTGCCCAATCAAGGATATTCATGTAGTTTTAATATTTTAGCTATCAATTCATATGTCTCATCATCTCATCTACTAATCTGAACTATTAATTCCTTGTACCTTAGAAATTCCTCTAGATCCTAGTCAAGCACAACCCAGTAAACAGTGAAACATACACTGAAAGACATCCTTGAACAGACTAAACTTTTAAAACCCAGTTCGAGGCCGATGTTGACAAACATACCTATCTACCTCTATTGCCCAGTTCTCCCTCGAGGAAGGTCACATTGCCCTGTCCCAAAGTGGAAATCCCTCCTCTTGTCCTTTAGACCAGTAAAGTAATGATACACTATTGGTTTGCTTTACCACCGTGGACATCNTGGAAATCCCTCCTCTTGTCCTTTAGACCAGTAAAGTAATGATACACTATTGGTTTGCTTTACCACCGTGGACATCCAATGGGTCATAGGTTCCTTCGAAGGGGCCGTATTTCGTGGGTACCCCTTTAAGATTCGCCAAGGATGCCATTCCTGTCAATCGTAATATCCCATGCATGTACATTTATTTCTGCGATGGTGGAGGTGTCTCGTGCCAAGGTTTGCCCTAGGCTTTCCCGGTACCATTCTTGCTATTCCTACTTTTTCTTGGTCGAGGATCCATTTTGCCATTTCTATCATGATGAGGGTGTGCTTCATCTTTTTCGCAGTGCTTGATAACTTTCACAATGCCGTGGCCCCACTGTCAACAGTGGGATCCTCAAGGGCTCCACCCTACTATGTTAGCTCGTGGTCTTTTTTTGGCCTATCATTTGTCCTTCTACACTGTGTACACCTGTCTAATTTTACAGGTTACTACATATATGTTGATCCTAGCACGATGTAACAGTTAAACCGTTGGGTCAAGGACATGACGTGAACACAATTAATTGACCTATTTATTATTGATTAATACTTTACATGATCTCAAGGCCGGGCTTAGGGCTAGGCTACAAATGGCTTGTTTGGATGNTATTGATTAATACTTTACATGATCTCAAGGCCGGGCTTAGGGCTAGGCTACAAATGGCTTGTTTGGATGAATTTTTGGGAAAGTTTGGATTGATTTTTTTAAATTTTTTCAAATTCAAATTCTTTTTTACAAAGATGTGATTTAACATTGAATCTAGTTCAAACTCATGTTTGATATGCAACACACGTACATGTAGGATTTACGGATATATCATAATTATTAACAATGATTTGTCCCTTGATCAATTCAATTCATACTCATGTTAAGGAGTATAATTATTTTTTGTATCCTCAATCCCTTAACCCATCTTTCAAAACCCACCTCTTCCTTAGATTTGACAAAACTTATGATCATGAGTTTAATATTCAGGTCAACTACAAATTGAGTTTGGGAACTCAGGATTGAATTTTTAATCAAAATATAGAGTTTAGAGATTCTTTAGACTATTTTTTTCAAACTCATTTTATCAAGCTCTACCATACTCTTTTACCAAACAGTCCCTAAGGTGACTGTCTAAGCCACCCACTTTTTTAAAGGTCCAAAAATAATTTTTAACCCAATTTTGCGGACCAATTTTTTTTTTTCAATTGGATAACATCCGCTAAACATGGGGGCCCTAAAAAATCCTTTCAATCCACAGATAATCAGCACATTTCCTTCTCAGGGTCCTACGTGGCACGTGTCAGGGATTGTCCTTGGATTTTGTTTAGAAAAGTTTTGCTTTTAAATGCTCTCACGCTTGATGATGTACAAAATGAGTTTACACACCACCTGTCAAATATAAGTAATAAATGCAGTAATTAAAATAGAGAAAATATGAGAATTATAGTGGTTCGGTCAAAATGATCTACGTCCACTTTTGAATAGCTAAGGTCGCCGAGTATTTCATTAACTCAAGTATGCACGAGAGCAGAGAGTTACAGACTAAGAGAGAGAGGAGGGGTACAATTTGGGCGGGCTGGACAATCAACCCTAAGTATATAATTTTTAACCCTAACCCTAACCCTAACCTTAACTCTACGTCGGGTTGGGGAATTCAACCTGAGCATTGCCTGAATTTAAATTTGGGCGGGCTCAGGTTAAATTCGGGTTGATGATTTCGGGCTGATTTCGAGTTAAGTTATGAGTCCAATTCGGGTAGAACCCAAAATAGGCTTGTTGTTCTAAACCTAATTCATATATAACATAATATTCACCTAAATTAACAACCAATAACTTTAACTAAGTTTTTAACAAGAGAGGCTGNGTTTTTAACGAGAGAGGCTGAGAGAACGAGAGAGGCAAAGAGAACGAGAGAGACAGAGAACGATAGAACAAAAATGAAAAATCAGTGCTAATGCTTTATATATATATATTTTTAATTTGTGGGGTTCGAGTTGAACTCAGGTTCATAAGGCCTTAACCCGAACCCAACCCAAATTGAATTCGGGTTGAAATTTTTTGACCCAAGTATTAAAAACCCTTGTCTAAGCCCTAATTTTTTCGAGTTGAATCGGGTTGTCCAACCCAAGTTGCACCCCTAGAGAGGAGAGAGTCGTGCTCAACATAGTGTGATTTGCCCTCCAAGTATTGGNTAATTTGTGGGGTTCGAGTTGAACTCAGGTTCATAAGGCCTTAACCCGAACCCAACCAAAATTGAATTCGGGTTGAAATTTTTTAACCCAAGTATTAAAAACCCTTGTCCAAGCCCTAATTTTTTCGAGTTGAATCGGGTTGCCCAACCCAAGTTGCACCCCTAGAGAGGAGAGAGTCGTGCTCAACATAGTGTGATTTTTCCTCCAAGTATTGATGGGATTTACAATTTATAGTCGCCCCAATAACAGATTGAGGCGAGTTGTTAGTAACCAAGTAGCTATTTTAGTAGAAGTGACGATATCTTCCCCACAGGTGAGGCAATTATGGGGCTCTCCATGGGATTCGGTCAAAAGATGACGCGGGGTGTTGACCATCTCCAAGGCGGCAAAGATAAGACTTTGGATGACCTTTACTCCAAGGGGGCGAGGAAGAGACTCTTGGATGACTCTTACTCTAAGGTGATAGAGAAAGAGGTTCTTGGATGATCCTTACTGCAAGGTGGTAGAAGAGGAGACTCTTGAATGACTTTTATTCCAAGGTGGTAGTGGATGAGGCTCTTGGATGACCCTTACTCCAAGATGGTAGAGGAGGAGGCTCTTGGATGACTTTGCATGCTCCCTGCTGATGTAGCTCCTTGATCTTGATGAGTTTATCCGAGTTGACCACATTGAGCTGAACTTACTGAATCTCTAGGAAATAGGCTATAAACTTGGATCGGACTTATAATTTAAGCTGGGCTCTTGGGCTTTACCCATCATCACTCTCTCATAATACAATAGACTTTGGAGTTAAAAAGAAATCTCATTGTCCATTTCCAAAGGAAATATGCTGTTAACGAAAAAAAGGAATGTATTTTATCAATTTTTTGGCTAATATTGGGTTTCTTAATCACATGTAACATTTTTTAATTTATAATTTTTTAGTATTTCATTATTTTTTCAATTCACAAATACAAATCATTCAAACAAAAACCAATGACTGAAATTGATTTTAATACAATATTGATTTTAGTATCGTAGTCTTATCCATATAATAAAAAGTTGGTTGTTGGACTTAAAATTTATTATTCATAAATTTTTTATTTTCTATGATGTGTGGCATAAAACATAACAAATCTTTATATTCCATATTTTAATTAAAATAAATAGAGCATATAATATTATATAATAGTAATACAATAAATTTTAATAGGCCTCGTTTACATTTTTGGTCTAAGGCCCCCATTTTGATTGGGCTGCCCTGCATGATCTCGCAATAACAATATCTGAACACAACACAATATAGTTTTATTGACATCTTTACAATGTCATTTCCCTTAAAGATTGTATTGTTCAATCCTTGATATATATTGAAACATGTCAAAAATATCGGAACATGATTTAGTAAAAAGAGTAAGTAAGAATTCAAAACTCAACAATTCTCCCTCGCTCAAAAACAAAAAAGCACAGAGAGANACTGATACTTCCAATCTTCAAATGGGTAAAATAAAATTTGTTATTCTTTTGAGGGACAAAGTGGCATTTGCTAACTTTCATCAAAGCAATTACCAATAAAATCTGAGACTATTATCAGATGTTCAGAAACCCTTTTCATTAATTATTTAGATGAAGTCAACAACTCAGCCTTTTAAAATACGAATGCTAAGAGATTGGAATATCACAATTTTAAAGATAAAGGATCAAATGAGACCAATTGCATATTTGAAGAGCTAGGAGAGTACTTTAACCCATCTGAAGCCTCGGGTCCAACTTCTCTGCTATTGATTTTTAACAGCAGAGGTGATGTTGATTAAAACAGGAATCATTCTAATACCCGGTGTTCCTATCAGGGTATGTGATTTTAAAATTAGAGTAATACTACGTGGATTTAAAAAATAGACTTAAATTAGACTTGATAATTTCAACCATTGATTTTACTGTGAATCCCAGTATTTATTGAGACTCACTACTTATTCGATAGTTGAGATTATCAAGTCTAATTTTTAAGTATAATTTTTAAATCCATTTAGCATTACTCTTAAAATTAATGCAAATTACCGAGTGTGCCTATCAGCGTATGTGACTGTGTGTACGTGTGTGTGTGTGTGTGAGAGAGAGAGAGAGAGAGAGAGAGGGGTTCAAGTACCTTGGTTTCAATATCCAGTACTGCTGAGAACTCTTGTGGTGAAAATTCTGATTGGATCCCTCTAGTTTTGGACCCTGTAGCTTTCAGGCATTTAAGAACCTCTAACATAGAATTAATCCCAGATGAAGGATAAGGTACCCTGAATTTGATCTTAGCTTTCTCTACTGCCTTACTCATCTCTTCCTCACCAAAAACGCCCTCAATCTCAGTGTTCTTCCTCTCCAACTCTTCCTTATATCTCTGCAACTCCTGAATATTCTCAGCTGCCACTTGAATAATTGAATTTTTATCACCCTGCAATCAAAACCCACAAAAAATAGTTCATGAGATGAGACACAAAAGCTTGATGTATAATCCAGAAAGTTAGTGTTAGCTTATTCATTCGGTTATGTAGTCTTCCAACCATTTTTTGAAAGATACTGGTTTTCGTGCTTTGGTGGGTCAGCAGGATTCTTTCAATGACATATGTTGTTGTGTTGAAGGGATATTTATAGAATCCAATCGATTTGCGTAAAATTCGCAATATCAAGTTAAGAACAGAATCGGAGAAAGTATACAAAAAAGACAATTGGAGTCTATTCATTCTTGAAACTGAGTTATAAAGATTGAAAATAAAAATTCCCAATAGAGAAATTTCTGACCTTAGTACCAGGGGGTAACATGGAAAGCAAGGCTAAGTAGCTCTGCTTCTGCCTCTCTCTCCTCATCCTTTCACTGATCATGTGTTTATAACCCCTTTGTATCTCTACTCCTTTACTTTCATTCATAGGCTTCCTATTTCTTCTCAAGAATTCTGTGATCCTCTTGTTTATGTTCCGATGATCCGATCCATTACCTTTCCCCTTTGCTTGAAATCCATCAATGGGTTGGTCTCTGTAGCAAACAAAAGCACTTTGATTCACTGGAAGAGCATCATCAAGCCACAACATGTCCTCAAAAGTGTCATATTGAAAGAACTGATCCATAAGCTCTTCTTCTCTTCAGTGTTCCCGGGAATTTCAAATTGTAGTTTATAGCGGTTATTACAACGGTCTTCTCTGAATCTAGCTCTGCGTATCAGTCATGAAATACACATTTAACATGTGGTCAAATGTTTTTGTTATTCCAACTTAGTTTTCTTAGTCAAGAAGTGTACGTGGCGACATAGAGAGACATATTAATATGGTGAAATTATATTTTGAACCCCTCAACTATGATTATTTTGTACATTGTCCTCTTAACTATCATATTTCTCACATTGTACCTTTAACTTTGTTATTAGTTTCACAATGCCCCCTAAACTATTTATTTGGTTTTCCTTGTCCCTAGACATGTTGACAATTCTGGTCCAAAAAATAACAGACTTTGCTTTTGAGACAATGTAAAATCGATTCAAGTAGTTGGGGGTGATATAAAAATGCAATAATTCAAGGAGCAAAGTAAAATTGAATCTATAGTTAAAGGGGGTAAAGTGTAATTTTCCCTACAGATATATAATATAGTGTCTCTAGGTGTTTTTTGTACTACCCAGCCCATTTGGGGGGACGCACTTAAACTTAAATTACGAATGTTAGTAGCACTGTGATTAGAATCAACGGCTTACAACGAATCCTTCTGCGTCTAGAAGGAACGAGGAGGTCTCTCTGCTATGCGTGGAACTTCGTGCACGCATGCACTGTGCAGTCAATATGTAACCGTGTGCTGGTTCTCAATTATAGTTTATTTATAGAGGTTGTCCCAAGCATTCACATTGAGTNCCTTTGACTAGCAATTGTGACCTCGTTAGTCTGTTTGCAGTTTTCTTAAATAAGTACTTTTTAAAAGTTTGAGAGTAAAATGATATATAATTGTTTGGACCTTGACTTTTTTACCAATTTATGCAACAACTTTTTGGACCCAAAGTGACTGATTTTATGAATTTTTCTTCTGAATTTTTGGAGTTTTTTTGCGGGTCTTACATAATTTTTTAGTTTATTATATTTATTAAATACTATTAGTGATGTAAAAAAAATTTAAAATTCATATTTTGGAAACTATTATGNAGTTTTTAAAAGTTTGAGAGTAAAATGATATATAATTGTTTGGACCTTGACTTTTTTTATCAATTTATGCAACAACTTTTTGGACCCAAAGTGACTGATTTTATGAATTTTTCTTCTGAATTTTTGGAGTTTTTTTGAGGGTCCTACATAATTTTTTAGTTTATTATATTTATAAAATACTATTAGTGATGTAAAAAAAATTTAAAATTCATATTTTGGAAACTATTATGCATAATCTATATATACATATAATTATTATTTTTTTTTATTTTGACACAAAAAACCAAAAAAGATAGAAAACCACTCCACACAGACTTTTTCAACTTTTTTAGTTTTTAAAAAAATACCCCAAATGGTTTTGTAAAAAAATTTTAACTCTGACTTTTTTTCAAAATTTTTCCAACCATAACTTTTCACCTAAAAAAGTTAGCTCCAAACAGGCTCACTATTTCTAAAATTTGAAATTTATTTTAGAGTAAATTGAATTTAATCCTCCTAAAGATTTTGAAGTTTTGTTTCGCTCACTCAAAAATTATAAGTTTCACGATGCATCTTAAATTTTTGTAACAGTTGGATTAATNTACTCTTGAAGATTTTGAAGTTTTGTTTCGCTCACTCAAAAATTATAAGTTTCACGATGCATCTNTCCTCCTAAAGATTTTGAAGTTTTGTTTCGCTCACTCAAAAATTATAAGTTTCACGATGCATCTTAAATTTTTGTAACAGTTGGATTAATTGTCAGTTTTAATGTTAGATGAAACTCATTTTTAATCTAATATTTATAGTGAATTATGTCCATAAATTAAGTTCAATTAACATTTTTCTTCCGACTAGTCATATTGGGGCATGACTTCATAAAAGCGGGCACACTAGTTTAAACTGATACTTCCAATCTTCAAATGGGTAAAATAAAATTTGTTATTTTTTTGAGGGACAAAGTGGCATTTGCTAACTTTCATCAAAGCAATTACCAATAAAATCTGAGACTATTATCAGATGTTCAGAAACCCTTTTCATTAATTATTTAGATGAAGTCAACAACTCAGCCTTTTAAAATACGAATGCTAAGAGATTGGAATATCACAATTTTAAAGATAAAGGATCAAATGAGACCAATTGCATATTTGAAGAGCTAGGAGAGTACTTTAACCCATCTGAAGCCTCGGGTCCAACTTCTCTGCTATTGATTGTTAACAGCAGAAGTGCTGTTGATTAAAACAGGAATCATTCTAATACCCGGTGTTCCTATCAGGGTATGTGATTTTAAAATTGGTGGATTTAAAAAGTAGATTTAAATTAAACTTGATAATTTCAACCATTGATTTTACTGTGCATCCCACTATTTATTGAGACTCACTACCTATTCGATAGTTGAGATTATTAGGTCTAATTTTTAAGTATAATTTTTAAGTATAATTTTTAAATCCATTTAGCATTACTCTTAAAATTAATGCAAATTACCGAGTGTGCCTATCAGCGTATGTGACTGTGTGTACGGGTGTGTGTGTGTGAGAGAGAGAGAGAGAGGGGTTCAAGTACCTTGGTTTCAATATCCAGTACTGCTGNACGGTAACAAGAAAATTAAAAAAAAACAATTCTTATAATGTATTAGTATATATATTTGAATTAAATATCATTTCAAATTTAACAGACTTAAATTTTCATTTATCATATTCTATTATAGGATTATAAAAATTTTGTATATTCCCAAAATTCGTTGTTCTAACTATAAGAAAAAAGAGAGAGAAAAATATTTAAAGTTATATTTTTTTAGAACTTTGTGATTGAGATTGGTTATTTAGTGATGTTTGAAAAATTAAATTTTTTGAAATTCATTCGATTAAAATTCCATTTATAATTTCTTGAATAAAGTAAAAATAATTGTCAATATACTATACTTAAGAATTAGTTATGTGAATTAAGATAAGATTTAAGATACTATTCTATAATATATGTTTTGAAACATATCAAAATTTTTTAAAAAAATTAAATTTTTACTTAAGAATATACTATAAACNGATAAGATTTAAGATACTATTCTATAATATATGTTTTGAAACATATCAAAATTTTTTAAAAAAATTAAATTTTTACTTAAGAATATACTATAAACTATTTTCACATAAAATCTTAATACAACTTAAAGAATTTATTGTGGCTGAAAAATTATATTTTAATGTAATATAAATTGATTTAAAAATTTTTTTTTTCTTAGAAATAAAAGGTTTAAAATTTTTAATGAAAAATAAAATAAGCATATGTGCAGATAATATTATCTTTGAATATGAGATGAGTAATATTAAATTGATAGAGTTTTTAAAGTGTTTTAAACATTTTATTAAAAATATAAAGATGCATTATTTTTTTGCATTAANAACTCCCACTTGAACGTACATAGACATGACTCAAGAGTTTTCCAAGTTGGTGTTTACCTTTGGTACCAAAGTTTTATTTTCACCAACTTTTTATCCATAACCAGTTACAGATTGATATCAGAACATGATAATAGACTTACGTGCGCACACATTCGCTTTCAAGTCTGACCGCACCCTTCCACATATGCTATCCTTGCTGATAGCATACTCCATGTGACTTCAATTCACTCTATAACTAAGTGATTGACATCAATGCTCCATACTAGGGATCATAAGGTCCACACCCTTAGTATCATTGACTATTTCAGCCAAACACAAATTTAATCAATGTGTCGACTTGTGCCTGAAATTTTGATCAAGTACTTCCTCTAAAGCCCATGCAAAGGTTCTCCTCAATACACTTTATTGACGACTTAATACACCATGCACCTTAGGTGACTATGTAGAGATCTCATTGTGTCTCAAAGTGGACTTTACACTCATGAGCATGCAATAGCCCTGGAATGCCTGCTGGTGTCCTCTACCTTTTATCTGACCAATTCATATCCTCAATCAGGTAGAGTCACATCTTTCTATAAATTTTACGCGTTCCCAAAATTTCTCTAAAGATGTCCTTCACTACGTAATACTCCAACACCTATGTACTTCTTAAACTCATTGCAGTTACATGCTCTCTAATTTTTCCAGAGTCAACCCCTTGGTCATAGGTCAGCCACCATCTCTCCCAAGGGTATATAGTCNATTGCAGTTACATGCTCTCTAATTTTTCCAGAGTCAACCCCTTGGTCATAGGTCAGCCACCATCTCTCCCAAGGGTATATAGTCGACTTTTAATTCACCCCTCTCCACTATATGTTGAATATAGTGGTAATTTATATCAATGTGTTTTCCTTTAGAGCTATTAGCTCAACTTTTTATTAAAAAGATAGCGAACTTATTGTCACAAAACACATTGACTGGCCTACTAAGTATACCCAACTTTAAACTATCAACAAAGCGTTTAATCCAAACAACATTACTTACTGATGTACTGCACGCTATGTATTCGGCCTTCATTGTGTATTTTGCAACACAACCTTGCTTCTTACTTAGCCAAGAAACAATCATTCCACCAAATAAAAATATATGGCCACTAGTAGATTTTCTGTCATCTACATCACCTACAAAGTCTGCATTTGTATAACCAATAATTTCTAGATTATTTAATCCAAAACACAATTTCATACCTATTGTGCCTTGTACTTGTCATAGCATACATGAGACTATTCATAGCTTGTGCGTAGGGGACCTTACTCATTTCAAATATTTCCTCATTTGAACTAGGGCACATACCTTTACTTAGACTTTGACCCTTGCAGACAGGAGTACTCAACGACTTACTATTATTTATACCGAATCTCTTGAGCACCTTTTTCAGATACTTTTCTTGATTCAAATATAAGATTCTAGAATTTCTATTTCTAGAGATTCTAATTCCGAAGACATAATTAGCCTCACCCATGTCCTTCATTTTCAAATTTAGATCCCAGGTACACAATGGTTTCTTTGATCATATTTGGACAATTTTCT